ATATATATGGAGGAAGCTTTATTTATTCCCTAAGGTAGAAAAGAAAAGAAAAGAAAGAGTATAGATGTGAGACTGTTTAATTACAGAAATTGGTAAGCATTATATATTAACCTATATGATAGATTAGGCCCTAGATTCTGTTCCCACATTATGCATAATATTTCTCAAACCTTTTTTGCTATGAGTTTAACTTTTATTTTGTATCGGGATAAAAGATATTTACATATTCAGATTACTTAAAAATTTTATAAGTAAATTTCTATGATAAACAAAATTTGTAATTTGGTAAAAAAGACAACTAACCTGTTGTCACATGTTAAACTATATTGATGGTATAAAAACTCTTATACTGTATTATAACTTAATCCTTTTTCCTAATGCAGGACTTCTTTTAGCATTTGACATTTAAAACTCACCTTTAAGTTTGCTTAAGCGACTTTCCTTCTACTTTTTTTGGAAAATCATATTCTAACTCTAGAAAGATATGCCTAATTACATCTATTATAATTCAACCTTGATCCAAAAGTCTCACTTCTTTTCATGCGCAAATGGAAGTCTAAAGCAATAATACATCTTAAAGCAACGTCTCATACTATTTAAAGTACGTAATTTTGAGTAATCAAAACTAATTGAGTAGTTAGTCACCTAATATTTCTGAATAAGGACTTGCTTAAATAAGTAGGAATATTTTAGTGTATTGAATATTATTGATGTTATACTTTTACCTTTTCTTCACGAAATGGGAAACAACTATTTCCATTCTTAATTATTATGGAGGATGGTTGATGTAACTCACACATAAAAAACAATAGGTCAAACTCGCTAATTGGATTAAGTAGAATCCTAAGTCCACAGCGTAATAGTATAATATTACTCTGTATTATGGAAATCAACCTCTCGTTATCAAGTGACGATGGCAGATAATAATTGTGCTTCTAACCAAATTTTAATCAGTAATATTTTGGATAATACAAGTATATTCTTATTCATATAATAAGCGGAAAAACTGTATATAAAATTGGTAGGGCCTTAAGTTTAGTAGGATACTACAATTCGAACAGGTTGCTAGTCCCATATTTTATACATCAATCAGTTATAACTAGAACTAAAATAGATGTATCCGTAAGGTAGCTATAGAAAATGGACCTTGGACCTAACTCAATCTTAAAAGTTAGCTCATGAGGTGAGAATTGACCAAAACCATATAATAAGACCAAGAAACCCAAATCCCGCCGATGTGAGACTCAACACCCCCTCACGTCCAGGCTTACAAACTGGAGCATGAACTAGAGAAAAAATTAACTAAAAAGGGGCCTTTAATTTAAATAAATAGCCGGACATATTCATTGTTTACTTTTTCTAGCCATATATATATATATATATTATACATTTATAATACGCAATTACACACATATAATACATAAATTATGCATATATTATACCTCTATCAACTATTTCTAGTTTAAGCAATTGGGTAGGCATCTATTTGGGTTAATTCTTCAAAAAAGGAAGTATAGCCCAAGAAAAAAACAAATCATGGCCTAGAACTTGGGCATTAGCTTTTCAGATGTGAACTGATCAAAATTTTAATTAAAGCATGATCATCGAGTTAGACTATGCTCAGAGGTGGATGTATCCTAAAGTCTATGGGTTCATCTGAACTACTAAAAGTTTAAAATTTTAATAAATGTTAGATATGAGCTCATCGATTTAACAATATAACGAGTTTAGTGCAAGTTTAAAACAGTTAAATTTAAATCTTGGATCTTACAAATTCGAATGTTATTAGGAAAAACCAGCATATTTGCCAAAACAAACTTAGGTGTAGGAAATTAATGGCAAGAAGAGTTGTACAAGTTGGCTAAGGTTTTGAGAAAACTCATCATTTATTATATTCAGTAGCATACTTCACTTTCAATCTCATCACCTTTGCTAGCAAAAATCATGTAAAGAAATGAACATGTGGACCTTCTGGATTTTAATGGAACAAAGGCATTGAATACATATGTAATTGACTGACTTTTTGTAATTTTCTGTCTAGCTATGACTTATTGCACGCTTTGCAGCATTTCATTAAATAGCCAGAAGCCCTTATCCATAAATGCGTCAAGCCAAAGATCTACTACTGTTTTCATGCATGCAATGTCGACCCCCTTAGACTTAGAGATCAGACAACTTCCTTAGTTTCTTCTGAAATGTCTTGGCTAAATGACAAGTGAATTCACTCGTGAACCATTCCTGTCTTGTCAATATGTTGTAGTCCTCGTGTGGATTTCTTGTAACAGCTGTAACCAGATGTTTTTGTTTAAATGATTTTTGTCTCATCTTAGTTTCAATATAATAAAGGGCATGCTGCTCGTTGCACGAAGTATTCCGCGTTCACGCAGGATCCGAGGAAGGGCCGCACCCTAAGGGGGTGTGATGTGGACAATTTACCCTAATACAAGCATTAATGACTGATTTTACGGCTCGAGCACTTTACCAATGGGTCACACGGATACATCTTTACCCTTGTTCTAAGACTCCCTTCTTAATTTTAATATAGTATGAGTAGCTAATCGGATGAGTTTCATTTTTCCTAATCCATTGACTAAGTGACAGTTGTATCAGTGGATAATTTCATTGTTTTTACAAAGCAAATCCCGTTGGTACCTTACGACCATATGACCTCTCCGTCAATGTTATCGATTATTAAATACAGGCCTTAACTTCTTTTAGAAATGCTGACGTTTTGTTATTAGTGAAAAATAAATTGATTATCATATTATCAAATATTGCTGCCAAAGTTTCGGGAGGAAAGATAATTGGACGCCAAAGCTGTGGAAAATAGCCGAAGTTGAGAGAACTGTATATGAAAATGTCCATCATTTTAATCATGTGATGCCTATTTAAGATCTTGCTTTAGTAAATCTAGATCGTTGATATTAGAATGGAATACATGGAATGAGCACATATCACCAAGTAAAACTTGAGAAAACAGAGAGAATGAGAAATGTAGAGTAGTCAAATCCAATTTAGAATGCTAACTTTAATAACAAGACGGGCTAAAACTTAAAGTACTGTGATAAGAACAATACGGGCTAAAAGTTGAAGTACTATGATAAGATCATACGGGCTAAAAGTTGAAGTACTAGGATAAGAACAATACGGGCTAAAAGTTAAAGTACTATGATAAGACCGATACGGGCCAAAATTAGGTTACACTATCTCATGGAGTCCAAAACTGCTTTTCGAGACAGAGCTACCATAAATTTGGAAATCTATTAGGAAAGGACGATTAGCCTTTGTTTTAATCTTGAAGTCAAATATAGCAAGTTCTCTTGAAAACAATTACCCTTCGGAGAGTTGGTTGAGTAGAGGAATCCACTTGCATACCTCTTAGGTCGAGCCTGTCGCACGGAGCTTGCCTAGTGTGGTTTATCTTCATGTGTGATTTGTTGATTTGCGGGCTATTACACAGGAGTTGGGTTTACCCTGTACACCCGAAGGGTAGCGGTTACAGGTGCCATTCACTTGAAAACAATCTTAGCGTTACAAGATGCCTTGGAAAACCCCATTATTTGTGACTTGATTTTTTCTCTATGTAGAGAGTCTCTTGATTTGGAAAGCTCGGCACACAAGAACATTTCTTGCAACACTTTGCCATGCTTCAGCAAAAACTTGACTAAACTAACATCACTTTCACACTCTGAGAATCCATAAATCTTTACTACTTTAAGATGTTGAAGGAAGGAATTTATGGCATGGCTTTGTGACTCCCAAAATCTTTCTTCACCAGAGTTGGACAATTGCCATAGGTCCCTGTTCCATTTCTGACATTTGGATAAACAACAAAATGTAAGGCTAAAACATCAATATATAAATAACTTACATCTTATTGGCTCAAATTGTACGTATTCATGTCTCATAATTCTCATAAGAGTAGTGAGCTTTGATTACATTTTTCGATTTGAACCTTTTTTTATAATTGTTTCTATCCGTTGTTTGTTGACTAATGCTGAGACACCACAACATCGTCATTGAATTACATAACACAATAAACTAACGTGGCTTCATCATTTAATTTTAAGATATACTAATACTTAATTTTAGTATATTAATTTAAAATTTGAAGAGTTAAAAAGAACATGAAACAGTGAGTGCATAAGGTTGTTATCTAAAATCTAGAACAAAGATAAGAAAATTATTGACATAGTTATTGATTAGATGGAAGAGAAAATTTCTAGCCTGTTATATTTTTCTGCAAGGTTGTTAGCCCATAGCAATACAGTGTCAAACCTTTCTATATATAATAGTATCCCTATATAACAACCATTTACATATTATAAAAGCGAAATTTTTGTAAAACCGATTTTTGTGATATGTTATAATATATATCATCTATAACAACACTTCGATATTTGACCAAATGAGGCAAGGTTTGACTGTATAAAAAGTGCATCGTGTGAGCCTTATTTAGATGCCATTTAAATGGTTGGTAATGAGTGATTATTGGGTTTCCTTATATACCTGACATGATGAATAGCTCTCCTTTTTTATTAGTTTGATATTATTGGGTTTCCTTATATAAGAAAATTTGCGCTTTTGTTTTTTCTAGTGCCCTTGTATTCTTTACAAAGAATACTTTTTCTTTTAATGTTTTTTATGTTCTTAACCATAAACAATTCTAATTAACTTATACTGTTGCTTCGTTAGAAGTTGTAAGTAATTATACGCATATTTGTTTGAATGTAAACTAAAGTAAAAATAAGAAACATTTACCCTTCTTTCGATGTTGTGGTCATTGGTAATGTTGAGAATGAGTGTGTTAGTAGCTGGAGAACTCCTAAATAGATTTGCTAATCCTGGAATGTTGTGTTTGCGGAATCCTGTGTGCAACTCTAAGCATCTCAGTTTTGTAAAAGGACGCAGTGAAATTCCTGCCAAGTGATTATTTTTCGACAGAATCTGCACGAAAATTGGAGAGCATTAAACAAACGATTGAGTAGGATTTCCTTGTCTTAATTGAAAGACAAGTTTACCACATCTTAGTCAATCAGCTAATAACATGTATGTGCATAAATCACAGCAGATTAGCTAGCAAATATGTATATCAGATCCATTGCACGAGCGGCAACTAATGCTTGTATTAGAGTAGAATATCCACTTAATATTCCTTAGGGTGCGGCCTTTCCCCCCACCCTGAGTGAACACGGAATGCCTTGTGTACTGGACTGCCTTTTTTTATTTGGGCAACTCCTTCAAACTAGTGTATAATAGAAATCATTATAATGCTATAACCAAAGTTATGGATCCACAATTAAAGTTAAATAGTTAACCACCTGGAAATGTCTATAATAAGTGAAACTAGTAGACAAACAAATAAGGGAGATAATCAGCTATAACAAGTTAAATTACACTAATAACGCAAAAAAATCTTTCCATTGGTTGTGTACAACAACAACAACAACATACCAAGTGTACTCCAACAAGTGGTTTGGGGAGGGTAGTGAGTATGCTGCCTTACCTCATACCTTGTGCAGGTAGAGATGTTATTTTCGATAGACATTCGGCTCAAAGCTAGCATGCATAATCACAACAGTATAGAAGATATGTTGTAGCGAGGAAATCATATAGAAGAGAAGCAGTAACACATCACGATAATAGTAAAAGCAAATACCTCAACGCTTTGGTTTTCAAGAACTAAAGAATGGGAATGAGAGAGCCCCGACAAGAAATCATTCACACTCCGAAGCTTCATTTCATTAAGGTCCTCAAGAAGAGCAAAAAAACCAACCAACGCCTCAATCAAAGAAGTCAAATTCTCCAAACAACTTTGGTCCGTAATAGTATTACTCGACCATATTATCCTTTTAAGTCTAGGACCATTAATCTTGACCTCAGTACCACTACTGTACGAATCAAAACAACTCTTGACACTCAAACTCTCCAACTTTGGACCCGTAATGTCCAAATTCTCCAATTGAAAGCAATTCTCTAGGGTTAATTCTTCAAGTACACGACAACTTACATGTAGATTTATTAGTCCACTACAATTTTCAAGATTCAACTTTTTAAGCAATGGGAAAGATGAATCTGTAAACAAATCATGAAGTGAAGGTTGTTCGTACATAATAATGCACGAAAGTGATAGTGAGAACAAATTTCTGAATCCATTTTTCATAATTGAAGAAGGAGGTAACCTGAACCCTGGATACTTAGACTTTAATTTAAAAACCCTTAAAGAATTACTACTAATTGCACTTCGAGGGAAATTAAAATAATCATTGGTTGCAACCTCAACATCTAGTTCTTGAACATTGTGTTTAACAGCGCCACGAATCAGGCTATTCAATCGAGAGAAACTCAAATTTGCACGAAAACGGAGGAATCTAATCCCTGAATTTTTTTCGCGAAGGGACAACACTTGATCAATGAAATCAGCTCCTCCTGAGATATTACTCCAAGTAGTGTGTAATTTTTTACGATTATTTGGGATGACTTTTGGCGTTGAGTTAATAGATGACGGGATGTTGATAGTGGTAAAATCGAGATCTGGGAATGTGTACCATAGATGTCTCCATCGTTTAGAAAGGACACTAGTTTTGGCAATGGATTTAATTGGAAGAGAAAAAAGAATATGATGAAGAACTGCATCTGGAAGATCACTAATCCTATCTTCACCACATGATGAAAAGCTTTCGTAGATTTCATTGATAAGCCTTATTTTCTTAGCAGATCTTGTTTCCATTAAACTGGTTGGGGCCTCTTCATCTGATATCACATTGGTTCATCTTTTTCTTCTGTAATTTAGATGAAAGAGTGTCATTAGGGGTAGTTAAGTTTAGGGTTTGAAACTTTCAAAAGCAAAAAAAGGAAAAATAAAATAGCCTTCAAAAGAGTGAAAATACTACTAGACTTCGTGCGATAAGAACGCTCGAGTTTGTTTCAATTCAAAACACTTCGATTTATCCTTATCGTCTTCTATTTTAACCAGGACTTAAAAATTTGGATGTACTTCTACATAAAAAAAATTGTTACTAACTCAAGTAACAAAAACTTCCCTTTTGGAGAGTCAAACTGTGTGAAGTTTGACCAATATTTTAAAATTATTTTTTTGTCATATTGGCATGAGAAAATTACAACTTATAGTACTCATCAAATAGTTTTTAATTTTAAATACTGATTTGAACTAATCCAATTTAATTTCAAACCTAGTCAAATTGACTCTTAATAAGTGAAATGTGTTATCTTAATTAAAACAAAAAGAGTATAATATACAAGTAAAGAAAAGATTCATCTGCATTTACAATGGACAGCCATTGCATTTACACTGGATTTGAATATATGTCCCCTTTTAGATAATGAAATACCAAGAAAATAGCGTAACTATATATAACATACTGATGTGATCATCTAATTAACTGATCCCAGTGATCTCGGATCAAAGAGCATTTACAACCAATTGCATTTTCATCTTTAGTTTTTAAGAGTTTGGCACGTTATCTCTCAACTTTTACAAGCAATAAATAAAATTTTAAATTTTATAACTTGTACAACTAATTCATTAGGGTTAGGGAGATGAACCTTTTGATAGCCAGATGTATTGTTTTCTAAGGTATGATTGTCATTTTTCGTACAAAAAGAAAATGCGAAGGATATATAGTAGTTTCCCCACTACTTAATGTTTTGTTTGCTCTGTTGGTTTTATGCGTTCTGCTTCTGGTGAAATATGTATGATATCATGATGCTCCCATAAATCTAATAGAAACTTGACAAAGATGAATTTAATCCATTGAATCAACAGCGTGAAAAAATGGAAAGGTTATGTATCAAAATCTATTTCAATTAAAATTTTCAAATTTTAAATATTTTGTGATGCTTATTAAATTACTTTTTCTTTATATACCATTTGTATAATGCATCAGCGAAAATGAGTATCTTAAATTTATGTGTTTAGTCAAATGAAGTTACAAAAATTGAAACAGAGATATCACAAATTTTATGATATCCGTCTTTAAATTACAATTAAGCCTACTCAATGGGCCTACGATAAGAGCTTTGCAATTGGGCTTGAGATCTATGTTTGCGATTCCTCGCACCGGTTTCCTTTCTAAAGTTGTTTGGGAATATGACACACACATATAAATGAAATATTGATACCGGATAACAACATGCAAGAGGAACTGGCAAATTATTGGTCATAAATTATTTTGACAAAACAGCTTCAAAAAAATTTGGGATTATATAGCCAAATTTTAAAAAAACCTACTTCCAATTTACACTCTCTCTCTCTCTCTCTGTTACGCCCGCAGTATTACGTCGATATTACGCTCCGCAGTATTATATTACGACGATGTTACACCCTGTAGTATTGTACGTTGAATTTGTCGTAAGATAATTGACATCAGTTTAAGGACAAGATTATTTGGAGATTATAAGTATTACGCTATTTCAAACAAGTGATAAGTAAATTCGTGAAGGTGAGAGGGTAGGTGAATCAAAGAAAATGAGTTCCGTCAAAATTTGACAATTTTGGAGATAAAATACGGTCCAAGCTATAATATCCCGTATTTATGGACTAATGCCATACAAGGTACCACATGACCATGATAGTAAGGTGTATAAAGTGTGTTAAAAGTGAGTAGTATTTTAAGTAATTTGAGATAATTCTTAATTATGTGGGTAATTAGTTATTATTGAATTAGTGGGAAATTAATAAGTTAATTAAGGAAAGGGGTGAATTTTTGGATAAGTGTAACCCCCCCCCCCCCAACCCCCCAAAACGTGACAGCCCAAAGAGGCATTAATAATGACTCTTAACTCTCATTACAAGATGGCATTTTAAGAGAGTATTTGTGGCTTAGTCATCCCCTACAGTGGGGCCCACAACCAAAAGTCTTAAGACAATCTTCCTACATCATTATTATGGAGAATGGAGATGTGTGTACTAGTAACGGAGGCATTCTCCAAAATGAATTCAAATTCCTACATTGCTATTATGTAAGTGTATGTGCGAGTAACGGAGGTATTCTCCAAAACGTATTCATATTCCAACATCATTATTATGGAAGTATATGTGCTAGTAACGGCGGCATTCACAAAAATGGAACGGACTTTAATTCACAACATGGAATGGACTTTAACTCTCGGAAATCAGATTCTCAACATGAATTCATATGAAATTTCATAACGCTACAACAACGTGATATTGCGATTCTAAGGGAGTACGGTGCAATCTTTCTCAAGAATATCATACGGATTTTTCCCTACTTCAATCCGCCGTTACATATTTTGTCGCAATTGACGTGTATTAGAGGGATTGTCAAGAGAATCGGCTCAGGTATGTTAAGGCAAAGCCCTTCCTTCATTTTGGCATGATCTCGTAACTACATGTGTTGGATAACGAGGCATAAAGAGACTCATACTCCCGAATTTATATACATTACCTAGTTTCATAAGTTACAGTATTCTCCCTTATCGGGACTTTATATTCAATTGAGTATTGTCTTCTTCCCGTCAAGAGAGCAGAGGGTCTCTCTCTCTCTCTCTCTCTCTATATATATATATATACACATTCATACATACATACAATATTACAGTATTTTCACCACCATCGAGCTATAATCGGTGGGCAGGCCCCTATTGGGCGACCTCTGATCAGATGGTAAGTTATATACTGAACCTACTGTGGCCGAGCGCCTATGAGCGAGCCCAGAATGGCCGAGATACAGACCCTAGTATGGTTGAGCGCCTATGAGCGAGCCTACTATGGTAGAGCAGTTACACGTTCCGAGCCTTATAGGGCCGGAAATTTATTTTACTTCCTATATTGAGAGAGTTGAGTCAGTGTCAGCAGGTAAGTATATATCCAGATCATCTTTGACTCCCAGTTACTTTCAGTTATTATATTATCAGTTCAGTTTCAGCTTTCAGTTTATTGCCTTACATACTCGGTACATTATTTGTACTGACGTCCTTTTGTTGGGGACGCTCTATTCATGCATGCAGGTATAGATAATTAGTTTGACGAGCCCTCATAGTAGACGAGGTTAACATTCAGCGAAGGATCAGTAAGACTCCACCTCATTCGGAGTGCAGCCGAGTCTATGAGTCATCATGTCAGAATTTTGCTATAGACTTATGGGTAGGCCGGTACCCTGTCCCACGTCAAATACTCTTAGAGGCTTTGTAGACAGAGATTCATTTTGTGCAGTATGTCAGAGGCCTTGACGGCCCATATGTATTCAAGTTTTAAGAAAGATGGTTCATTGATATAGTGTTTTCCCACTTATAGTTATACATTACGAGTTGTGGTCATATTGGCCCATGATAGTTACAGAAAAAAAATTGAGTTACAAAGTGGTTCGCTCGGGCCAGTACGGCACTGGGTGCCGGTCACGCCTCCCCAGGTTGGGGTGTGACACACTCTCTCTCTCTCTCTCTCTCTCTCTCTCTCTCTCTCTCTCTCTCTCTCTCNATGCATATCTACACACACACACACACTCTCTCTCTCTCTCTCTCTCTCTCTCTCTCTCTCTCTCTCTCTCTCTCTCTCGCTCTCTCTCTATAACCTACGTATTTTTTTTCTTTTCTCTCTCCCTTTCTCTCCTTATATTTTTAGCTCGTTTTCTTTCATTTTTATCAACACCCACTAGATTTATAGGTCTAAAACATGAGATTACGGGTAGATAATTAGGAATTTGGGTAGAGTTAGGGATTTTTGATTATTTGGGAATTTGACCTTGTATTGGGGTCGGATTTCAAAATAAATTATATATTCGGGCTCGTGGGTGAATGGGTGATCGGGTTTTGGTCCGAACCTCGTATTTTGACCAAGCGAGCCCGGGGTCAATTTTTGACTTTTTGGGAAGAATGATGGGAAAGCTATAATTAAGCATTGGAATTGTATTGTTTAGCATTTATTGATATTATTAAGTCGATTATGTCTAGATACAATTGATTTGGAGCCAAATTCAAAAGGAAAAGCGGTGTTTGAGGTTTGAGTTGGTCGTGGAAGTTCGAGACCTAAAAATCAGATAAAAAAATCAAACTAATTTCAGGTAAAAAAAATCAGACCTAAAAATCCAACTGCGACATGTGTATATCATATTGTATATCGTGTACATCAGTGTATATCACACACATGTTTTTATGGACGTCTATGTATATCACTTTGTATATCATGTATACAACAAAAATATTTTATGGACGCCCATGTATATCACATTGTATATCGTATATATAACACAAATTTTTATAGATATACACAGATACACATGATATACATGAGATATCACTGATGTACATAGAGATATATATGAGATACAATAGGGGATACACATGTGGAATCATCTTGAACTTGAGTTTTCAAAATGAAATGTGTTACAAAGAAGAAAAATAAATTTTGTTATACACATTATTATTATGTTATAAACTATAATATTCAAATAATATCATTATTCTTGATTCTTGTGTTATATATATATATATATATATATATATATATATATAAACTAGAAATATAATTAAAAAATATTTGGGAGTTTTTTCGGATACTACTGCAGGAAATGAAACCTAATTTCTAAGATGATGGTTGCTATGAGATAAGAGAGAAAGGGTTTTAAATATCTTTTATTGTTTTTAAGGAAAATAACTTTGACGGGGCTTATTTTTAGGATGGTGGTTGAACCATTAGAAGAGAGAGAGAGAGAGAGAGAGAGAGAGAGAATAGCTTTAGGCCAAATGTGGACTTAATTGTCATGCCATGCCATATATATATATATATATATATATATATATAGACACACACACA